CAGACACAAAGTTATTTCCATGGACTTTTGATTCTTTTTATATTCCCCAAGAGCTCTTTCTGCTACAGAATGCTATCTCATCAAATGAAGATTTATTGTGAGAGTTATTTGTAACCTAAAGAAAGGTTCATAATTTCAAACACTATTATCTTGCTTATTTGAATTATGTGTTTTAAAATGAAGAATAATGACTCAAATAGCACCAGTGGCCACTGGTATGTGTGCTAAGTGTTCAGAATCAATGTCTCATTTGTATGTGTGTAATCGTGGAGAAAATCAATGAAAATAATTATTTTTCTTCAAAATGTTATTTAAAATATCTGCTATATTGGTGAGGATGAGGGGAAATGTGAATTAATGTATAATGCTAGGAGTGCAAATCAGAAGACAGTCAAGACCAATGTGGCAATAAGTATTAAAGTTGAAGATATGTTTAGCAACAGTTTCACTTTCAGGTTTATACCCTAGATAAGTTCTCCCATGTAGATATAAGGCAAATTGTGTCCACTACAACATTTTGCAATAATAAAAAGTTTATAGTAATAAAAATGCTAGAAACAACTTACACGTCCACCAGTATATACAAAAATAATCAAACTGTAGTATATTCATACAAAGAAACAACATATAAATAAATATAAAAAACAGTGCTACAATTCTAAAAAGAATATTATATTATCAAATCGTTTAGATTGATTTTTAAAACACAAAAAGCAGCAATATATGGTGTTTGCTCATAAATACACATAGAGTAGAAAACATAGCAGTGATAGATATGAAGTTTAAAATATTGGATCCCTCTGACAAAGCATGCAATAGAAAGAAGTTATTACTAGCTATAATGTTAATGATTTATACAAACATGTTTTTTTTTAAAAGTGTGTTTAATCAAATGTTGCAAAATGTAGACTTAGTTATTTGTCCACAGGTGTGTCTTATTTTCTATTCTTTCTATTTAGAACTGCTTTATAATTCTTTTTACAAACTACTATCAAAAGCATGGTACAAACATAATTTCAAAATACAAATGCTAATTTTCAGTAAATTGAATAGGTGCAAGAGAGGGAGAGGAAGAAAGAGAATGAATGAAAGAAGATATTTGATAACTCCTTATGAAGGACTATACTATTGCACTAATTAGGGGAAAATCAATTGGGGTGAGAATTTGGGGGGAAATCAAGGATTCTATGGAATTATATTATAAAATCCAAAATTAACAATAAAATTTTAAAAAGGAGATATTTATGGCATAGGTTTGATTTTACTTCTCAGGTTAGAAAGTATGAGTCCAAAGCATGTAAGCTTTGAAATCAGACTGCTTAAACCAAGTGCCGCCTCTACTATTTGTGACTGTATGACTTTGGACAAGTCAGTTAGCCATCTCTTTGCCTTGGTGTTGTCATCTGTAAAAGCTCATAGTAACAGTGTTCATCACTTTGGGTTGCTATGATTTAATGAATACATAAAAATCAAAGGAGAAAATGTTTGCTGAATTATAGATACTACTATGTTCTACAAAAAACTGGACTAGTTCATTAAAATTTTATCTTAAATCACCTTACTGATATGTCTACACTGGACAAGAATATTAAATAATTATTGATGGCTTAATTTCTCTACTTTTGTGAATCAATTGACTAAAACTTTAATTGTTCAAATGTTTAGGTATTAAGCTCGATAATTTAGTACTTTTGATCATATTTCAAACCTGTCATGAAACAAACTGCCTATACTCAAAATTATCTGATAATATAGAAATGGCAGCACAGTCTGCCAAGATTTGATTTAAGTAGATATCAACTGTTTTTCATATGATCACATGTGTTTACCAGTTGTCCAAAAGTTTCTCAGCTTTCATGAGTCTGTTAAATCTGTAACTGTATTGTTAACACCAATTTGTCAACAAGTGATTTTTCTACCTGATTGAGGATTTGAGATTGTATCTTTTGCTCTTCCTCTCCTACTTTTCTCCTTCTTTCAAAGTCTGAGTTTCTCATCAGAAATGACACTGTTAATTCACCATCCTGCGCAAGGGTTTATGGTACAGATCATAGCGGTCATTACAGCACATTTTAGCAGTGCGGTGTTTTCCTTTTTCTTCTTTTTTTTTTTTAATAGAAAGATTGGAATTTAATTGTTTCCTTTTTAGACAAATATGCATTTGGATTGCCAGGGATGAAAAGGGCATACAGATGTCAAAAGAATTGTATCACAGTGGGATTATATGCTAAATTCCAGGGCAGGCCAGACAAACAAAGCCTCGGATCAGTCAAACAGTTACCTCTTCAGAAACTCTCAGATGACCGGCATTTGTTTTCATTTCGCCAATGCCTATCAAAAGTTCAAATGCAGTTTTGTTGTGTTAACTACTTACACTTCTTTTATTTCTTATTTTAACCATTTGTAAAAATAAAGAAATTTCACTAGATGGAATTGGGAGTTTGTTTTAAGACAAGCCAATTTAAAATAAAACAACACGTGCTATACACATGGCTTTCTTCCTACTAAAACAAAATCAGCTTGGCTTTAACTAGAAACCTTAATCATGTTATGTGACAAAAATAAGCTTAAATCTTCTCCTTTGGTCATGGAAATAATTATCTACTTTATACTGCATTTCATTGATAACCGTGCAAGCAAAAAAAAAAAAAATCATTTTAATCTTCAAGCCACTTTAAGTAAAAATTATATTGGTAATTTCTACGTCGTAAAAAAAAAATCACAAAGTGAATAACCACTGCTTTGAGTGCCAGAAGAATTATTTGCAAGCAATTTACTTATTATTTATTTACATGAATTTTCCATCATCAAGAGCTTCAGGTACATTTATAGGAAACTTTTTTGTTGTAATTATAGTACCTTAAGGATTTACAATACAGAACAGAGGTCACAAACTGACAGCCCATGGGCTAGCTCTAGATCCCAGATCCCAGAAGGGTTTTGTTTGGCCTGCCTGGTGGTTGTTTTTTTGTTTTGGTCTTTTTTTTTTTTTCTGCTTTTATTGAGTTAGTTACCAACATTTTAGAATTGGGGAATTTCATATTAAAAAAATATGGGTTCCAGTTCATAAAAAAAAAATCAAATCTTGGCAATACCGAATGTGCATTCCCACGTGGTAGCAATCAGCTGAGCTAATAGCCATCACGTTTGCAAAGATCAGAAAGTCCGAATTACCATCGTCTCTACCACTCTTTATCGCTTTCTCTGTTAGTGTTAGGTTAGTACCCTTGCCTCAGTAAGCACTCAGGTTTGCGACTCTTCACGTTGCCTTGCAGATTCTCTGAATAACCTAATGCACATACTTTCGAAAACATCCCGTGATTTTTGTCAGATTTCAGTACATGTAAAATATGATTACAAATGCATGTACTTATGAATGTTCTTCAAAAAGGTTGTGGAAAATGTATATTGCGAAAAATAGGCTAGGGTTTCAGAATTTTTGCATCAGAATATACATTTTAATCCTATTTTTTAGCAAACTCTTTAAAGTAGCCCTCATATATAATGTGTGTTTGGATCATTGTGAAAAGAATCCATGTCATTGTCAGCTACTATCTGTATAATTAAGACACAAGTTATCATTCATTTTCATGCCACTGTACTAAGAAAATAAAAATAAAAATAATTCAATGCCTGAATTCAGATGCATTCATATAAAATCAGAATATAATATCAATATATAAAAATCTAAGCTCACAACTCAATTCATGTTTAAATCAGAACCAACCACTCAAAAAATTCTGTGTATTCTATTCTCTCCAGTATTGATGCCACAGTCTAATAGAAAATTCATGCACTTAAGGAGGCACATCCACTGCTTCAGGTCACTTGGGTAGTATTTAGTGTGCATGGCATTTAAGATTATTTTAACATGGAAAATGGCCCAAAGATTAGACAAATCATTTTTCATGATCTTTTTTTCATTTTCCACACTCTAATTCCTGAATAAATCACATAGATGTGGTCCCCATCTCCCCAAAGCCCTGTGACATTGGTCTTGCAGAAAAAGATGGACAAAACCTGCATCAAGGGCAGCCCTGGAAGTGAGGGAAAACATTAAGGAAAGGTCATTCAGCCTGATAAAAGAACCTAAAAGAGAAGAGGGGACACCATTGCCAGGCAATAACAAAACAGGCTTTGGAATCATGGGTTGCCCTCTTTCTCCATTGTCTCTGAGCCATTGCCCATTCATTTTGTCATTGTGAACTAAACGATAGGAGGCTTGGATCAATATGCTATCAGTGATTGCAATTTAACTGAAATTTTCATTGATATTTTAGGGCGTTGAAAGTATAAATCTTCTTAGAATTCAAAATATTTTCAAGTCACGTTCATAGAAAAAAAAAGAATTTCAAATATTTTAGAAGTACTAGCATACCTACAAAATGTAGTTGTCTCCAGTGCTTAGGACTCAGAAGATCAAAATGCCTGATCCTTTTATATTATTGTTATAGCACACTCAATAGCTTGTGCTGCCCTGCAAAAGTGAATGTACCTTCCTAAGCATTCCAGAGCAAGGGATGGGTGGATATGGGAATTACTTTCCATCATTTGACATAGGTGGCATAATTTTTATATCAGTGACCTCACTCAATCCTCATCAAGTTTGCAGTCTTTTTCGAACTTCTGCCTTAGTTCTCAGAGAGATAGGTACACCCCATGGCTTGAAGCCATCTTCCCATTGTATTGTCCTGGAATTCTCTTCCAGTTTAATAGGTATAAATGATTTCTAACTGGCAATAGTGAAACCATGGAGACCTCAATTAACTAGAACCCTCAAATTGATCGACAGGGTCTAATTAGCTATTTGGATTGCCTTTCTTATTATTATTAAATATTAAGCAAGATTAAACAGCTGCTTCTGAAACTTTTAAAGGACTCTACAGTCCTACCTTAATAAGTATAGCACAGGGAACAAGATTATGGAAGTTGGGCTGAGTCTGTACAGGCTCCAGGACATTCCCAGGAAGTTGATTTTTAAAAAATAAACACATAAATACCTGTTAACAGCTTGCTTTCTTGTCATTTGCCTCTTCCTTCTAAAAGGAGAGTGTAGCAAAAAATAAATAAATAAAACTGGTTAATTGAGAGTTCTCATTAGTTAGCTTCCAATTAATAAAGGCTTTATTATATCTTACAAAAAATCTTCTTAGATTACACATAATGAAACAGCAGTAGGAAGAGCACAAAGAAGGTAGGAAAGTCTGAGTAGCTATTAGATAGTGTTTTAAATATATAGATAATGTTATTACATTTCTGGTCTAATCCCCACTGAGTAAAGAATAATGTGAAATGTCATGTGGTTTAGGGCTTTTCTCTATATGAAGACAAGGAAATAAGGTTATAGATTTCTGTTGAAGAAAATGGCCTCGGGTCATAATTCAAAAAAAAAAATCTTTAGTAATATTCTGTCTTTTCCCTTTGTATAAATAGCGGTCCTTCACATCCCATTGGGTATTCCAATACTTTGGGGGAGATAGTGCCCCTTATCTTTTCTTATTTTTTATTTGGGCAACAGGATGGTGAAAGTAATCCAATATCAATGTGATGCTTAGTTCCTAAATGTGGAGCCATTAATCACACAACTGACTAAACACTTATTTCTGATGTAATACTGAACTATCTTATATCTTTCCCCCAAGGGTTACACACACACAAACACACATACAAACATACATACACAGTCATACACACATACACACAAAATTAAATGCATACAAAAGAGGTAAATAAAAACTCACACAATTAGGTAAATTTACAAAGCAATCATTGTTTCCAGGAGTGTAGTAATTCCCAGTGCTGTCCAATCTTTTAATATTTAATGAAGAGCAATAAAATCATAAAAGCCATTGATTGAAAAAATACATAGACAATAATCTTTCTCTTTTCAGGCTTCGTGCACTTCTTATTAGCATAGAGTCAGGGACTTCTCCATAATGCCCAATAAGAACATTTGTGATTAGTTCATCACTCCTTTGTAATCATTTTTCTAATGGTCTTTCTATTAAAACCCTTATTTGAGGGGTTTTTTTTTTTTGGTAGCTTGGAGCCTTTAGTTTATTTTTGTTTGTTTTTTTGTTGTAAAGCAACTGCTTCTCTGTTTAAAGGTCTGAACAAAGATAACCAATTTACACAAAAAGATAATAACTTGTGCAAACATATATTTGAAGTTGCTCTGTAGAAAAGGTGAGGATAAAGATGAGGTCTGTTTTTATGGTCTGTCATTTCACTGTTGCAACTGTTGGATTTTACTCTCTGGTTCACTTAGCCTGTTTCATTATGATACTTTTAAATGGCAGATATATCAAGTCAATAATAATGGATGTTGCTGTAGATCACTGGAATTAAAAGAATTTCTTTTCCCTTTTGCCAAAGATCCCCCATTTTTACCTTCTACACTAAACAGAACGTTTTTTGGATACCATCATATATATGTAGCCAAAAAATGCAAACAAAAAAAAAAGACTTGTTTCTTATGGCACAAGCATCATACAATATTTAAGCATAGATATTAAAATCACTGATGACTAAAACATTGCTGTTAGAATTATGCAATAATATAAAATTCTAATGAGCTAATTAGATCATTGCAAATTTTCTTTTCCAATGTGAGGTACATATTTTCCAGTACTGGCTACAACTAGTGATAAGTCAGAACTACACATTAAATAGATATAAAGTTATTCCTCTGTCTCTTCCAGGGATTTGTTCCAGAAGACCTATGAATACAATTTGCAGACACATGCGCAAGTTCTTTATATTAAATACATAGTATTTTCATATAGGTGATCTATACGCTCTCATATAATTTAAAATTTATTGTTATCAACTATACCAAATACCATATAAATTCATATCAATATTGTGTTGTTTAAGGGATAATGACAAGGAATTTTTTATATTTGGTGTAGACACAATATTTTTCCAAATATTTTCTCTTCATAGTGGGTTGAATTAATGAACAAGAAATTCACTGACCAAAAGGAACAATTTGGTTTTCACATACAAAATAAAATGTAGCCTATATATTTCTCAATTTATACCTTTAGTGATTCCAACTAATTCGTTTTAAATTTCTTTATTCTTTATCAACTCTCAACATTCTGGAAATTTTTGCTGAACAAGGACTCAATATTACTAATACTCATCAGTATAAAATAGTTTATAAACATGAAAATAATCAGTGGGCTCTATTAAATTAGACATGAAGGCTATTTTGCATTAACTCTAATTTTTCCTTTCTACTAAAGTGCCAATGTTGCTATGCCTTTTTACTTCTGAGTCTATGCATACAATAAAATCATGAATAAATGCTTGAAATTTACTAAAACATGTCTTTATGATTGAAATGGGCATTATCATGAAGCCACTAACCCAAAACATACACATAGTCAAAACGTTGAATCCAATATTATACTTGATATCCCACTACAAGCAATGGAAGTAACAGCAACTGAGAAAAGACAACATAGTGTGGTAAGTAGTAGGGGCACCTATATGCAGCATATCAGCTCCAGTCATCATTATGACTGAACTGTAGTAGAGCAATGATTAACTTTACTGTAGATAATCTCCCTACATACAAGCTATGAGTAGAAAGCAATTCTGTAATGGATAAGGATCAAGTTTAACAATTAAGAGCAATAGGCTCCAGTGTGATGGCTCAGTTGACTAATCCACCCTTCACATATGCTAGGATCCTGTATGGGCACCAACTTGTGTCCAGGCTGTTCCACTTCACATCCAGCTGTCTGCTTGTGGCCTGGGAATGCTGTGAAGGATGGCCCAAAGCTTTGGGATCCTGCATCCACGTAGGAGACCCAGAAAAAGCCCCTGGTTTCAGATTGGATCAGCTCTCACTCTTGTGACCATTTGGGGAATGAACCAACAGACAGATCTTTCTCTTTCTTTCTATGAATCTGCCTTTCCGATAAAAATAAATAAAATTTTAGATAGACAAGAGCAATTATTGAATTAATTACAATAATTTTACCTGGAATCACAGACAACTAAAGGTTTACATTTTGTTTATTCAACTTTTGGTGTGGAAAACAAGGTTCAACAATGTTATTGGTTGTAATTACTGTTCATTATGCCTATCATTGAATGGAGTCAGTCTCACGGAAAAATTAGGGAATTCTCACTTTAGAAACCTAAACTTAGATCACATTTAATAATGCAAACACACAGCATACAAATGCAGGAAAAGTGGCTATAAATTAACCCGAAGTAAGGAACAGTTAAAAACTCAGACTCATTGCAGTTAAATGTCTTAGTCTTCTGCAGGATACATTTAAGAAGCACTATCAACTATTACATTGTAAGTTCCAGTCCTCATTTTAGTCATTCTTTCTAAGGGATGAGCATTTGACACAGTAGTTAATACAGCTCTTGGGATGCACACATTCCATATATTATGCCTGCTTAAACACTTCCAACAACTGTTCATCACACACCTGAAAAAATGAGGTCAAAATGTCATAGTCATATTTATCTTCACTATTGCCAAATCTTGAATCATTTTAAGTTCCAGCTTTTCCTAGATTCTGAGGTTCAATCTCATTGATTTTTAAGATTCAAGCTCTTTTTCACTACTCCTTAGAGTTGCTGTATTCCAGTTTTTCTAGCTTATATCATGTCTTTCTAGTTTATATTCAGAATGACTCAGAGAAAACACTAACAAAAGGCTATAAAAGTTAAAGGTAACATTAGTGGTAAATCTACATTATAATCCTTGAAATATTGGATGCAATTATTGCTTTATCAGCTTTTAGTTAGCATCTGAACTGATACCACATTGAGAAGTTAGAAAATAGCTTACTTTTTAAATAAGATATTGCCTACTTGGAGAACTTAGTTTCTAAGGAGGATTAACTCCTGATTAAAATGGTGTTTTCTTCATAACATTTATAACATTGTATAATTTATCTATTTACTTATTTTTTGGTCTCTCTTCCATTTGAAAATATCATCTTCATGAAAACAGATTAGGTTACACCAAAAACAGTTTTCAAGGGGAATTGGAAATAGCTTTGTGGGAGAATATTTTATTCTGACTAAAAATATCAAGGTGGAGTCTTCAAGCTGACTTCCAAAAACATTTCAGCTGTGCAGAGATGATTTACACCATTGATTACAGTGCATGATTCATATAATAATCGCATTGCTTTAGAATATGAGTAAACTTTTTCAGTAGCCAACATTGAAACAAAACCCCATAAACCCAAAATCATTTGATAGCATCAAGTATAATTAATCATTACTGGGCAGATACATGTAGCTTTCTTTATATCCATGGAGATAAAAATACTACAAACTGCATTTTAGTTATAGCTGCTTCAAACATTCAGCTTATATGTCTAGTGAAGCTTAAATTAGATTCAAGAAAGCAGTTAAGTAAGCAAAACTCAGCTAAACTGTTTCAAGGCAATGTGTTCATGTGCCAATTGATCATTTTGATAATCGTACCAGGTTTGGTCTAGCTGTTGATGAAGACAATCTCAAGCAGAGTCAGAGCAAAGGAATTTTGGGCTGAACATGCTCTTGACATATTACTGAGGGGGTTGATATGAGGGTTGGAGAGAGAGGATGAAATGCATTGAAATTCTTTACATTCACCCCCTAAACTTAATCGCCAACAGTGACCACTACCTATTAAATAAAGTAGAAAACATGCTCCTTACCAATTAAGAAACCATAAACTGATAATAAAAACTGCATATAGCCACATTTTCAAATACTAAATATACCTTGTTTAGCAACTCAGATTTTTACAATTAAGTTATAATATCACTTTATTATCATATAGTTTCACAGTTCAAGGGGCATTCTCTTTTCATTAACTAACGGAGTAGGACCATTCTGTGTACATAAAACAGTTTGAATCATTGTTCCACTTTTATATATGTAGAAACTGAAACTGAAAAGCATTTAAACAGACCAGTGCTCTTTATTATTGTTGATGTATTTGTATATCTGAATATGACTGAATTATCTATCTTGATATACTTTTCCTGGCAAATTTTGTTACTTTTCATGC